AGAAGAAAAATTATGGTTTGAATGAGTAATTTTTTCCTTATGGTATGTCTTTCTCTATGTCCTTGACTTCTTTATTATGAAGAATGAGAAGTGTTTAGTCAAATTAATTAGCTAAAGTATACTTTTAGTCTTCTAATTTTATAGGTTTCAATTTGGTCCTTTAATTTTATAAACTATCTTTTCAGTCCTTTAACGTTAACATTGTTAGTTTCAAATGATTATTTTTTATCAATATTTGTTATTTTAAAAAAAATTAAACTTAATATGTCAACATTTAAAATAGCTTGTCAATATTTGAAAGTTTAATATAAAAATTGTTAGAATAAAACTAACACTTTTAGAGTTAAAGGACTAAAAAATAATTTATAAAGTTAAAGAACTAAAATGAAACATTATGTAAAATTAAAGAATTAAATGTATACTTTAACCTAAATTAATTATATTTTGTATACAAAGGTTAATTAATACAATGATAGATTAAAAAAATAATTTTAAAAAGTGCCAAGTGTCCAAAATTTTGGACCAAACTTGTCTTAAAAAAATGTCTTACGATTCATGCAAGAAGGGGGTAATAACTATTTGACCGGCCATCTGTATAATCCAATCCAAGAAAATCTTTGTCATATGTCTAGCTAGCCTACTAGCAGTGACATCCTATGATTAACATTTGAATTAATGTTACTTCCTTATCCCTATATATAAAAAAATTTAAAATATTTTTTTATCTCTAAATGTAAGAAGTTATTAATATATTTTTTAATGAATGGATTATTATATTTTTATTAAATTGAAAAAAAAAGATAAGTACTCTAATTAACTTATTTTGAAAAAAAAAAATTCATTTTTAATTTACGATAATTAGGGACAAAATTAGAATATGATGTGCTTTTAATTAGATAAACAATATTGATTTGCGTGATTCGATTAAAAACATCTTATATATAGGAATAGAGGGAGTATTAGTATACATATATATTTTTTTGATAAAGAAGGAGGACTCAGTTTAAGTGCTGAGCAAATTATTAATATTCAAAACCATAATCCTAGAAACAGTGCTGTGCTGAACACGCATCTAGGACTCTTTGTATGTAGCCCCCACCCTCCATCTTCATTCTTCAGTATTACATATATTCCGTCCATATATATGGCTTATTTCAATTAGTATTCAGTTGGAAAATATTCCTTCCAGAAAGCAAAGAAGAAGATGGCTGACGATATAAGGAATAAAGGACGAGATAAGAAACATCCAATAGGAAAGTCTAAGAAGTGATGATTAAGGGAGGAGACATGGAACATGATAGGATAAATCATGATCCCAAAAAAGGGGTGATTTGAGGATACACAGTCAATCTAGCACTATGATATAGATAATGATGAAAATATGGTGCACAGCAACATAGTTTATGATCAGAGAATTAGATGAAAAATGAGAATCCCCAGATAACAGAGGGTTCAAGGAAACGATCGGATGTAAATTGGAAGTAGTTTTGCCATAAGAAGGACTTAGACTATCAGCCCTCAACTGCATATCTCCATACCGTAAACGCAAGAAGAAACTAGTTCCTTATAATGTAACATTCTGCTAATGATAAAGCAACTAAGATCCATTTCCTTTTACCTTGCAGACGTATTCTCTCCTTTTTTACTTAAAAAGTGAATGGTGCCGTTAGCATAACAGAACACGGAGTTAGTTAAAAAAAAGGCTGCAAGATATACCAGGAGGTAGATATTTAGAACTAGAGTAGGACACAAGTAAAAAATTAAAAATCACTAAGATCCACCGTGATAAATATCATGATGTGGGGAGTCCCAACGTGCCTCCTTTGTCAAAGAGGAACCACGTGGTCTTTTAAAGAGTAAGTGACGGAGAGCGATAGAAAGTTTGAACAAGTGGCGAAAAGGAGTGATTTCAAGCTAGCAATGCCATGCCATGCCAGTAAGCAACGACAGCGATTTCAAAACCAGGGATGCATTTCAATCAGCGAGCAGTGATCTTGCAGCAGTGAGAAGCAGCTTCAGCACTAAAGAGGAGAGAATGGGATGAGAAGAGAAGGCTAGGGTTTAGAGATAAGAGATCGAGGCCTACGAAAATTTGGGGTAAAATCTATAAGATTTACACTGGTTGCCACAAGTATAATAGGTATAGATATGTTAAAGAATAATTTTTAAAAATTGAAGTGTATAACTACACCAATTATAACTTGTAATGGTGGCTTTAGATATCTCTATGAAATAAAAAATAGTAAAAATGTAATAGACATCTACACCAGTAAGGTGTAGATATCATCATAATTATCTATTTATTTACAAAAGGTCACCACTTCCAATTTCTATACCGCAAGCGCATGAATTGATGTAAATGTAAGGGTGTTGTAAAAGGGCTATTTTGTACTAGTGAGAGTTTTCTATGTTGTCCAAATATTCTTTTTGACACATTGTAGAGATTTTAAAATGTCCAGCTTATAGGGTAGACTCTACCAAAATTTTTATAATTTTTGAATATTTTGTTCCTTTTAGCTTATGCTTATTAATATAAATTATGATATATAGTATGATAGATTTGTAATTAATATATTAGGTGTTATGTGAGTATTCCAACTGGTCACACTTCAAAATTTTGGGGCGTGACATTAATTATATTGATCCTATCTTGGGGATTGTTCTTGAACTTGTTAGATATTTGCGTATTGAATACCGGGCCACTTTTATTGCTCCAGATTCTAATACCGAGGCTACAATAGTTGATGATGCTAATGTGTATTGGTAAGCTCTATTAGATGGGTTCCTCATAAAATTAACAATTGATGGTGCTTTATTTGGAAAATCTGATCACACTTCAATTGGTATTATTAGTAGGAATCATGCCAGTATATTTCAACGGGGCTTTGTTGATAAAGCTAAATATCTTTCAACTCTCATGATTGAAGCACTTGAATTGAAACGTGCTCTTATGTTTGCCATTGATCTTGGTCATGACAAGGTTTTGTTTGAGATTGATTGTAAACTCTTGGTAGATTGTGTTGCTTTAATCATCTTGATCTATATGATTGGAGATGTAGAAGTATTGTTCATGATTGTATTGCATCTTTGGCATTTGAAGTTGGGTTCTCTCTTATTTTTACTCTGTGTAGGGGAAATTGTGCAGTTGATTTTCTTGCAGTTGAATCTTTTAAAGAAGTAAGCCCTTTGGGGTAGGTGTTTGTGCCATCACTTTCTTTGTCCTTTCTTCCTATCTTTGATGCACTTGAAGCTTCAAAGTCATCTATTGATACTTCTTACCTGTAGTTAGTTTAGGCATTGGTTAATTTCCTTTGTTGTTTTCTTCCGTTTTTTATCTACTTTTGTTTTTTATTTTATTATTGTTTGCTGCTTCTGGATGGTGATTTTTGGCTTTCGTTTAGTCAAATTTGAAGTATTCATGACCAGAAAAAAGAATGATATATTTATAGTGAGTAAACCATGATTTTTTAATTCCAGTAAAGTGGTTGAAAAACATCTTATAATAAGCATTGGAGAGGGAGTATATGCAGTCGGTCTTTCCTATGTTATGTAATGTTCACTAATTGGTGTGCGCTTCATTTTTTTTTTTTTTGGGTAATAAAAAACAACTGGTACGAGAGGATTAAGAGATCACAACAAAAGATAAATTACGGCTTAGACTATCAAACAATTTGAATATTCATCAATTTGAAGGATAATGCCAACTTGACTTATGCTTGGCTCAGCTATGGAATTTTAATGTAATATTCAGAGAGACGTTTTTATACATTGGATAATGCATCACGCAATTGTTTGTAAATACTCCCGTCGATTCCTACAAATAATTCACCAATTAATATTTATTTTCACGTTTATATTTAATTAAATGAGTATATATAAAAGATAGAGGAACTCGCTTGTTGTGACCAATCTCCATCTTCTAATTGAGAATTAATTAATCTTTTGTTCCACGATGAAGAGGACTTGGGTCTCTCTCTGCCTAATCCAACCAAGCTAAATAAAATGCACGTTAAATGGAATTCCTTCATATCTAGAAATTTGGCCCTTTTTTCTTTGAGATGGAATCAAGCATATATGTTTTTTTTTTTTTTTGTGTGTTTTTTAATGAGTTTTCTTCTTGTTTGATGTTTATGAACTAAGAAAAACACTCAGAACCTTTGGATCATGCTTCATTCATGCATGTTCGATGATATAAATAATTAAATCTTATGACAAGTTTGAGATCCTTTGTAGGTAAAATATTACTGGTTGATAAAGAAGCATTCACTGAAAAAAAAAAAAAGACTAATATAGCAAGAAACATAATATCTAGAGAAAAACTTGATCCAAAATAAGATACGTGTCTTTGATGAATATACTTTGAAATCATGTTGACATTAAAATAGTGTAAAATCTAGTTAATAAATTAAAGAGGGATACTCCCTCCATTAAATTTAAAAAATATAAAGCATTTTTAGTTTTTCAAGATATAATCATTGTCTTTTTTAAAAAGTGTCCCTATTGATAATAACTTTATATTTATTATAGAGTGTTTAATAGGGATAAATATAAAAAGATAAGGTTAGTGTTAAAGTAAATAACTATTTTATTTGAGGATAAGATTCGATTAAAAATATTTTACAATTTCTAATGGAGGGAGTATAGTTTATTTGATAAGAAATCAAATGATAGCATATATAAGATGCAGGTATGAACTTAGCTTCACCATAGTCACTAAACTATATTAAGTTAATCAAACTTGGTTTTCCCAACACAATCAGTTATAATTAGATAAGGGACTTAATTAGCCTATTTAACACTCCCGTTATTCTAAATTATAAGATATTTTTAGATAAAATTTTTAATTTTAATAAATTTTATTAACTACACTTAATAATCTTATTTTTTCAAAATAAAAATATAAACTTTCAAAAATACTTTTCATTTAATAACCTTAAATCAACACTACTTAATTATTAACTAGACTCAAATAAATATATATAAAAGATTAAGGGTTCAATTACAGACAGGTACAAATCACATCGTCCTTCAAGCTGTGATAGTTACACCTTATAGAATTAAGATAGATCTTACAGTCAATATACTAGTTATGTATAGTCCATCAATAAGGTCTTTATTCTTACTACATAGTGAGATTCAAATACACTTGCATCCTTAGTTAAATACTATTTTATGGCCTAATGACATTTCCAACCCATTTAATTAAATAAGGGGCTCCTCTCCTTTCCCTTTGTTAAATAGGAGTACTAACCAAATAAGGGGAGGGGATAAAAAACCATGGCCTAGGCCTTCAAGCATTGAATTGGCAATGGAACTTTCTTGTAATATTCAGAGAGGGCCAACAATGGGAAGACGTTTCTGTACGTTACATAATGCATCATGCAATTCCTCATGAATACTCCAGTTGATTCCTATATATAAATAACTCCCCAATTAATATTTAATTTTAAGTTTATATTTCATTAATTAAATTCGTTAAATGAGTAGGGGCAGAGAGGAACTCACTTGTTGTGGCCAATCTCCATCATCTAATTGAGAATTAATTAAATTTCTTGCTCCACGATGAAGAGAAGTCGGGTCTCTCTCTGCCTAATGATCCAACCAAATAACAAGATCAGCCCAAACTAAGATGCATGTTGACAAAATTAATTAAAGATGATACATGACTTACCTGTCCAGCATAAATAAGACCCATCATAGCCCATGCTGTTTGTACTATATGAGATTTGCTTCCTTCAAGTGGTATGTACATCTGAATCATCCAAGTCAGCTTTCAACTAACTAAGTTGACAATAAAAAATAATAATAATGTTGAAATCAAATAGGTATTAATTAGTCCACCTTTTTAGGGCAAGAAAGGTAGCTCTCTCCCCACCCACCATCTTGTTTTTGTGTTGTGAGAAGAAAATTGACAGCTTTACGAATGGAAGCACAATTGTCATAAGTCTTTCCAGATGCAATAAGTCCACCAAGTCCAAACATTGTTCCATAGATGAAGCATATTCCCCAATTTCCATACCAGGAACCATCTTGTGTTTGCATCTCTTCAATGTATCTCACAGCTTTATCAATGAAATTCTGGATCTCTTTCTCTCTATGTGTTGGATATAGCTCTCTAAATAAAACAAAAGCTTGTATTGCTGCTCCAGTGCACTCTACACATTCATGCTCCACTACAATATTCTTTAAAAATTCAATAGGATTCAACACCTGCTCCTCGAAGATAAAAGCAAATTAAATTAATTCATGCATTATCACTTCATGAATGTATCAAAGAAATCTTATCTTTAGTCCAAAGTATGTTTACTTCAAATATTAATAATAAAGCATATATAACTCTTACTTCTAACCAATCTTGACCTCTAATTGGTTCCCAGACTGCTAAACCACCTCTTTTACTCTGCCAATATTATCACAAAAATAACCATAATTAAATTAGTATATGATTCTATCAATCTGGATATTCACTATAAAAAAAGAGTGGAGGCAGTTTTCAAAATGTCGAGAAAGTAACCTCAGGTAATGGATTCATGAAACTTTTGAAAACATGCCACAAATGCAATGGCTGAGAAAATGTCTACTTTTTATGGTGATTCATTAATTAATTAAAATGAAAAAAATAACTCACTTGAAGTGACAACAGTATATTGACAGCATCAAAAAATCTCTCAGGTTTCATCTTTTCTCCTACAATCTCTGGAGGTAGCTTTGATAGAAGAAGACAACACTAAAACAAACAATGATGTATATGGTGTGAAAAAGTTACCTATATTATATTATGAAAACAAGAATAATTAAGTATGAAGTTAGCAAATCATCACCTTCAAAGCTTCTGCTGTGCAATCTGAAACTTGCAATCCATTATCTTGATCAGAGAAAGTCCAGGACCCTTTGGAAATGTGACGATACATACTCTTAAAGTCTCCAGAAGGGTTGTTCTTAACCTGACCATATTGTTATCTGTCATTAAAAGAAATTACACTAGCTCATAAGACAACAATATGCAAGTCATTGAATGGGTTTTCCCATTAAGATTAGTGAAACAAACTTGAGATTCCTTGATGAAATAATGTGCTCTTGCAAGTGTGGGAGCAAGTTCTTTAATTAAGCCGGTAGCGAGCAAAGCTTGAATAGCAAAGCTAGCATCCCATGTTTGGCTACCGAAACTCTGCATATAGATATCAAGCCTAAAATCAAACTATTATAGTTACCAAAGGAAATTTAAAACTATTCAAGGAAGATAAAGTTTTAGACGCAATAAAATCAATATTGGATTAACTTACACACACATACACATCAAAATAAGAAAAAGTTACATTAAAACAATTGATGAATTTAAACCATTATTATAGTTTAATTTCTTGCAATTATCTCTTAATTTCACCTGCATGGTCATTCCATCTTCTGAAACCCATAAATAATCTGGTACCCTGGCAAGATGCTTCTTAAAAGCTTCTCCATTTGGATCTTCAGCCCAACAAGCAACCATGCATAAGGACTGTAACAAGACAAATATAAAAGAAACATAAATCTTAGAATTTTACTATTTTCAATCTTACAATTAACGTCAAATCTTTGATGTTATATTTATGTTAACAAAGAAAATTATACCTTTTCTACACATCCAATAGTGATGTATCGAGTATTTTCATCTTCATAGTGGATATGCTTTATTGTTTTTTGAAGGGCCTTTTCTCTAACCAATTTGTTGAAGGGCCAACGAGTAAGAAGTGGCTCGCTCAATATGTATAAGCTATCCCACATTAGATCTTGTATCAAGGGATGTGGGGAGTAAAGATCCTCCTATAATATATAAACAATATCTTAGTTCGTAGTTCCATAATGATGGTGAATTAAGAATATGCATGTAATGCATCACCTGTGCACAAAGGTGGCGAGCTTTGCTCCAATCAATTTGATGGTAAGGTTGAACATGAAGTTCTTGTCTCAGTTGAAGAATAAGTTGTGTGATTGGACCCACAAACCTTTTACCATACAAGTAAGACATAGGCATGTAGACTGATCGGCAATAAACCCACATTTTAGCTGCATTCATTCATTAAGGCAAAGGAGAGTAAATAAATTGTTTTGGAGAAACTCAAGTTTGATATATGTATATATGGTTCCCCCCCCACACACACACACATATAGTTTAAATCAGGGTTAAAGTGTATTTTTGTCTTTATACATTCCTTCAAGAAACATTATGTACCCTATACTAATAAGCAAGGAACTTGCATCCCTAAACCATTTTTTAGAGGTGTATAAATTCCCATCCGTTAGTGATCTATTAATAAAGAAAAATTTTTGCTCATCTGAAAAATAATTTAAGGAGAAAAATGCCCTATTTACCAATACAAGGTGTCCAACGCTTCTTAAAGGAAGGTACAAAGAGAAAAAAATGCACTTTAATCCTTTAAATTAAGTGAATGAATGATACCTGGATGCATAGGAAGAAACGAAGGCAAGAGCCAAAACTCAGGAGGCATTGGGTTGCTTCCTAACCATTCAAATACACCAAGTATCTATATATGGTGGCATATTAATAAGGAAAGCCATGTCATGTATGTCTAAAAGAGAACATGTTAACTGAATGATGAATCAAAAGCATTTAATAAAATAGACATACGCAAAGCCAAGTCTTTCCCCAAGAGGGTATATAGGTGACACCACCACGATCAAGAATCCATTTTCGAGCTCTAAAACAAGCATTGTCTTCTCCTCCATCAGGTCCTTCTCCGAGAATGCGAATGCATATATAGCTAAGTGCTGTAGTAAACATGTTGCTATGACCCTCAATATGCAATCCCCACCCTCCATCTTCATTCTTTATTTCCATGCATGTTACATTATTTCATATTCATAATATTAGTTACTTGTTGCATTGCAAATGTTGACAATATGATAATTAAAAGAATGAGATACTTCACCTGGTGATTGTATAAGAAACGTAAGATCTCTTTACGATGCTCTTTAGGAAACACATTTTCTAGCTGTCCTGTAATATACATGCAAAATACCTGCATCATAATTTTTATTAATATTCTAGGATATTTGTTGAAGTTTCAAATGAAGTTATAAATAGAAATTTTATAGATACAAACATACAAAAGGTTGGATAAAGAAGAGAGGTCCAGCAATTTGAGCAGGCCAGTGGCCATCCTTAGATTGCAAGGCAGACAAGTAATAAGCAGCTCTCTTCACTGTGTTCATCACTTTTTCAGATGTGATTTCCTCTTCATCTTTTATCTTCACACTTGGTATTGTCTGCTTGAAATTCTTCTCTCTCAAAAACTGCATCACATGCACCAAATTTGACAATTATAAGCATATCTAGTTAATTATCCACTTTGGACTTCAAAACAGGGATCGACCACAACACAATTGATAAATGTATGTCTAAGTTTATTTATTCATGCCTGAGCCCGCTCACACAAGAGTTTGAATATGGAATTATTAGTTTGAAAATTTGTTTTACTCTCTCTCACACACACACATCAGACGTTTGTATGTTAAGCTTGTAATTTTTTTGGGCCGACAGATTGTAAATATTTATTATAGCATTCTTCTTTTATAAAAATTGTGACAGTAAATACTTTGTCCTTCTTAGTAACGTATTTGATTGAGCATGTTGAAAATTTATAAAATACATTGCTATAATAAAACAGTAGAAGTCAGCGTTAAAATTTTTTTTTCTAGATACTCTACATAGATACTTATCCATTATTTAAAACAATATAAAATTATTAAATCCTTATACTACGGCACTAACCCTTTTTATAAAATGCCTCATGGGAAATGCCCTTGGTCATATTTATAAAGCAGAAAGAATAATTTTTTAGTCTTATATATAAGTCATATTATTAATTTTTAATTATAAGTTTTCATCTTAATTACATTAAATTTTTGTAACATAAAGTACATTATTAAAATATGTATATTTAATAGGATCAACATTTAAAGCATGTATATTTTAATTTACCAAAACATATATATTTAATATGATTAATGTTTGCAACTTATTAAATAAAATTTTACACAATTTTAATAAATTTTAAAATTTTTCTTAGTTTTATTAATAAAACATGTTGGAAATTACTTTTTAATAAAATTGAAAAAAGTAATAGAAATTGACTCTTTCCAAGTTCCAACCATTCATTTTTCAATGGGAGAATGATAAATCAACCTCTCAAAACATACAAATGACAAAATGGTACCATGGAATGATGTAATTAAATTTCTAACCCTAAGAAAAATAATAAAAAGTACTTGTTAATATAAAAAGTACTATATAGTTGTTAGTTTAATTATGCAATGAAAAGTACATTTTTATAGTAAATATTAACAACTTTAGCTTAGTAATTATCAACTTCAGTTTAAATATTAACAACACATTTGGTCATAATTTCAATGTAATCATGCAATAGCAACTACACTTCTTATATTAATAATTTTAACTTTGTTATTAACAACTTTAATTTAACTTTTAACAACAATACTTTCTATTATTTTTTAGAGGGCTAGAAACACAATTTTACTAAAAATTGTGACAGATAAGTCCCCAAGATTTGAAAGTGATAACCCTATTTTGTCATTTACGTATTTGGAGGTATTCACTTGTGATTTCCCTTTTCAATTATTCAATTTTCTTCGCATAGTTAATATGCAAGATAAATATTTGATCTAGATTTTCTCCCTAAAGATTACAAGAAAGGTACAATGAATCTCTGGCATTTTTTGTCCAAATTAAATCCTCGGTCATTTTAATTTATGATTAGTATATAAATAATTACTTAAATTTTGACTTTCTTTTTTATTTTATATTTATTAACGTAAGAAATCAATAAAATTCATGAGCACCCAACTCATGTCATGAATGATCTTTGATACTTAGGTTCGAGATCTTAGATTTCAGTCTATACAAATGTAGAAAACACTTTCGAAAAAGTACCATACTCTTGTATTAAAAAAAAAAGTACCATACTCTTAATTAGGCCTAAAAATACTTACTTATATCTGACCCAGTAGTATAGTATTAATGATGGTTTTATCAGAAAAATAATGTATAAATAGACATGTTAGTTTAAATAAATCATATGATTCAAACACTTGTCATCGAGAGCTTCGCCAGATTCATTCCAACAGATATTTTTCCTCCTCCCTCCCGCTCTTTCATTGAGAAAGATTCTTACTTTTACTTCATGTAGTTCTCTTCCCTACCGAATATTTCCTTTTCCTCTCCGAGTTCTACATTCTGTCGTCTTCTTCAGTTCTGTAGTTTTAGGAGTTGATCGATCTGTGACTCTGATCATTTTTCATGAGTTTTATACTGAGACTTTTACTGTAGTTTCAGGCTTTGGCTACTAGCTAATGGCAACATATAAACTTCACATAAATTAAAAAAAAAAAGAATAACAAGTTAAATCAAAGAAAAACCACTCCTGACGCCTTAAATATATGGTCCAAGACAGAAACTGCATGCCCTAGGCACACCCAAATCGGTATAATTTACAAGTCATTTGCCTTCTTGTAAATTTATTAATTATAAGAAAGAGTCAACGATATAATCAAATAAATATACAATCACCGAGTAAACTCCCATAATTAAAAATATCATAAACAAAAAGTAAATAAAAGTAAGACATATCTAGCAAGTAACAGACGATTGATCGCACTATTGTCAGATTTGATGCCATGGTAAGAGTCAAAAGCTTACCAAAATTAAACAAATATCAAATCAAATTGAATGAGAGAAACTAGCTAGAATACACAGAGAAAGGGGGGGATAAAGAAGAAATGAAACCTGAAATCGCCAAAGACGATCACCACAGGCTCTGAAACGGGAGCGATTAGAGGAGAAGTGTTGACGAGCAGCTTCGACTTCATCCCTCTCCTCTTGGCTTCCATCTTCTGCATGAAACTCCCATGTCTGCCTCCCCACAAAGTTATTTGTGCTGAATATGTACGGGTCATTCCCTCTCTCTCCTATCTTCAGCCTCCACATTCTCTCTCCCTCTCTCTACTCTGATCTTAAGCTAATACTAACATCACACACCTTCCTAAGCATGCATTCCTAAGTTTGCAATTTAAAGCTCTTGCCTTATTTCTTCCACGCTTACTTACACACACCCCCTCCCCCTATTTATAACATTCGCATAATTTCTAAATTATTTCTATAATGGTAAAGAAATTATGTTAATTTTCAAATAATTAATTTATTCTTATTAGCTTGGATGAAACATAAGTAGAGTGCCAGTTCAAGATTGGACCCTTCTCTGTCAGCACACACAGAGGATCGTAACTATTTCTGCCTCATCAATCAAGAATTATTATTGACCAATCAATATATTGTCATATACTCTTTTGTTCCTATATATAATGTGTTTTTAGTTGAATCTCACGTATCAATAAAAGTTTATTACTTAATTGAAATTATATAAAAGCATAATGATTTTTCAAATTTGCCCCTAAAGCCTACAATTTGTATCATAGTGGTGGTTGGTACACCCCACAATTAATATCTCATCTATTTTTTAAACTAAGTGCAAAATTATCTAATTATTTAAAAATATCATGACATTTTCTACTTTATTGACAAAGCAAACTTCTAAAGAATACATTATACATGGGACGGAGGGAATATGTAGGTATTACTAGCTAGTGCTTGAGTACAGATTTCAGTGCCCTCTTGCGGGTAAATATTTTCTGTTTCCAGACCTTATCTTAAAAATGCAACTTCTAAACAGTGCCGAGCCATAACCCTATAACAAATACTCTCTCCATTTAAAAATGTAAAGTATTTTTTGAGAAGTTAGATGTTAAAAAATGTAAGGCATTTTTAATTTTTCGAGGTATAATTATTGTTTTTTTTTCAAAAATGCCCCTATTGATAATGACTTTATATTTATTGTAGGATGTTTAATAGGGATAAATATGGAAAAATAGGGTTAGTTAAAAAATAGGTAACTACTTATTGGGGGTGAGATTTGGTTAAAAATGCCTTATATTTTTTAATAGAGGGAAAATGACATCAAATTTCAAGAGTCACAAACATAATGATTTTCAAAAATTGTATAATTAAGTTCAGTTAAAATCCAAAGCTTCAATGATAAATTATCCAAAAATCTCATTTTCGATGCATTTGTAAATGATTAAAGCTCGATATTAAATTGTTTAAAAATAGGGTCTTAAATAATTTAACATTCAGCTTCCATGCATTATTTGATGAAAATGAATTTCTGATTTCCACAACCTAACTTTTGTTTTGAAACATCGTTTTATTGGGAACAAGTTCTCTCCTGCTCCCATCTTGGCCTTACTAAGGTAGGCTGGAAATTAAAAAAAATTAAAAACAAAAATTATGCTCTTATGAGGGCATAATGTGGAACTGGAGGGAGGAACAAGAGAGAATCTGCTCCCATTGTATTATATCTCCAGAACAGTTACAGATATTTTGGTCTATAAAATTATTTTAAGATTAGTAACGGGCGTTGCTCCTTTAATTTTTGAAACCCCACCTTTTTTTTTTAATATGAAACTCCGCCTTCATCTCTTTTAAATGATTCCATAGAATATTTTCCTTGCTATTTGTAATATTTTCCTGGTGATATTTTTCTTACTTCTTCTGTTTTATTACATTCACCATTTTAGGAAAAAAAATTCATGTCACAAATTCTTTTAAGGTATGTTTGAATTTCAGTTAGATAAAACTGATTATAAAAAAATTTATTTAATATGATTGATTTCCATTGTAATTTAGTATGTTAAAACATAATTATATTTGGATATTATTTTTAAAATTAGATTTGATAAAATTGAAGGTGTTTGAATGATTTTAGTTAAAATCAATTTTAATAATATAAATATTGATAACTTAAAGTTGTTACATACTGCCTCAATTTTAAATTATAAGATATTTTTAGAAACTTTGGCATATCGAAATATAAGATATTTTTCCAAAAATAATGTTTTATTATTAAAACTACTTTTTTCAATATATTCTATTTTTAATATTTTTTAAAAGTATTAAATGAAAATTTTTTATAAATTTATATTTTTTTATAAAAATTGAAGTTGTAAAATGTATTTAATAAATTTTATTGAAGTGTAATTTTGTTATAAATTAGAACAGAGGGAAATCAATATATATATATATATATTATGAAAGAGGAAAATATAATTCTTAATTTTATGAGAGGAAATTTATTTGCCTGCTTGTAGTTTATCTAAATTCTCGACAGAAGCAAATATTTATTTACGTCAATTTCAAATTGGGAGAGGGGAAAAGGTATGGAGGGCCCACCTTGACATGGATATACAAGAGGAGCGCACAACGGGTGGTAGAACATCATTGTTACTTGTTTCTTTGTACCGAGGATCATTTACTTGTTACGCCAATTATTTGATTTCAAGTGTCACTGCCACCGACTTTATACCAATATATTTCTCCCAAAAGCTTGTGAGGTTTGAGATCTAACACGTAGCCAACTCTTAACATAGTAATCCCTCTGTTTCCAAATTTTACGTAAAACTACAACTTTCCAGAAGCTTTAATCACATTGTTTTTTTTTTTTTTAAATTGTCCTGTTTGGACGGGAATTACACTATGGGCTAAGGACTGAGTATGTCAAGGCCCAATTTGAATAATCTCTGCAATACGCCCACGCCACTGAGACCTTGAGGTCAGATCTTTGGGAAGTTAGTGACATGTTGCGTTCAAAGTGGAGCGGTGACCGGCTCTTAATTAAGGCCACGTCCCACCATCCGCGAAACGCCAAGCGCTTGCTTGCAACTTATAACTTGGGTTACTAATTCTTAAGAAGATTTGTCAATTCCTTAATTTTAACTTTACTTTTTTTTTTTTTTTACATTACTTGCTGACTTTGTAATTTTGTTTGTCAACATTGATAAATGCGAGGGAGCCCCCCCAAGAATTTAACTACTCCTTTGTATTTTTTTTTTAAAGTTTATTTATACAGAATGTGAAATTTAGTTTTTGTCCCCCAATTCTTGATGGCTTTAAATTTTGCCCCCGTGTAAGGGAGTCTAAATTTGTCCCTGCTCTTGAAGTCCACGAGATGAAAAGAAATCCATTAAGCTGTATTATCATAACAAGTTATAAAATAAACTACATTACCTGTTAAAAGCTTTATTTTACTTGTTTAATTCCATTATTTTAGTTGTTACGGTTGAATATGTTGGAAGAAAAATATTTTAGTTTTTAAATTTTATTTCAATTTAAGCCTAACATTTTGCAATGAAATTTCAACTTGTATTGGGCTTGATTCAAAAATATGTAGGTGTCACACCCATAGTACCAAGGTGTGACAATGATCTATTTGTTAGGAATTACTGGTAACTTTGGAATATAAGTGGGAATTTAAGATAATTGAGCCATAAAAATTTTGAAAACTCAGTAGGTGAGTGAAGTGGCATTTCAATTAAATAGTTATTAAAAGTTTTTATAAATTCTTTTGTTTAAATCTTCACTGTTAATTCTTTATTATTTAGAAGTTTTCATTTCCTATCCTATTTTTATCATAACTAATGTATTATTGAAACTGTCTTATTCTTTTTATTTATATTTTAGATGTAAGCTTGGTAAAGGAGCTTTTGAAACTGATATGTGATAGATTGCTCATTTCATTTAAAAAAAGTTGTATTATTTGATTCTATAATTGCTATGAGAATTGTTAAGATAATGATTAATGCATAGAGAAAATGAAAAGAAAAGTTGATAGTTTGAATAAAACAATTTTGAAGAAATGATTTTAAAAATTTATGTTTCAGTCCGTGTATGCTTGTTTTCGATTAAGGGTACTAGCCAAAACATTGGATGCTGAACAGAAATTTCATTAGCCTTTAGTATACCATAATACGCCTAGTTAGTAGGGTGCTTGTAGGTTGTGTTAGTCCCATGCGAAAGCCAACATATATGAAACTAAAGAATAGTTCTTCGTGAGCATCATAATTACACTTGTTTCGTGGACCTCATACCTGTACTTGTTTTTGTGGTATTGAGAAGCGTTTGTTATTCATTCTAACAAAGCTCTTCTAGATTAGATTTCAAAACTCATCTTTTTTTTAGCCCTTTAAAAGGCATTGTTTGGAATTATTTCCTTTATATATACATTTTAAGACTAACATGACCTTTATCTAAAATATACTTTTAGTCCTATTATTTTATATAAGGTTTCAATTTATTTATTTAATTTTGTCAAGTACTCTCTCTCTATCCTAAATTATAAGACACTTTTAAACAAAATTTTATATATCAATAAAGCACATTAAATGCACTTTACAACTTTACTTTTTAAGACAACAATATAAATTTTTAAAAATATCCTTCATTTAATACTCCATCAATAAAAGAATATTGAAGAGAGAGAATGTATAAGAAGGGTAATATTAAAAAAGTATCATTAATAAAACTTTATTTTTATTAAAGTGTTTTATATTTTGAGATGTTGAATCATCCCTAAAAGTGTCTTATAATTTAGAATAAAGGGAGTATATTTTTAATCCTTTAATCCTAATATCGTTATTTTTAATGATTATTTTTTTTTTGTCAATCATTGTTATTTTAAAAAAAATTAAACTTAATATGTCAACATTTGAAAATAGTTTGTCAATATTTAAAAGTTCAACGTAAAAATTTGTTGGGATAAAACTAATAGTATTAGGGTTAAAAGACTAAAAAGATACTTTATAAAATTCAAAGATTAAAATTAAATATTATCTAAAGTTAAACGATAAATATATACTTTAACCTTTGATAAATCTATTCTATTCCAACTCTTGTAATTGATTCAACGGATTTATTATTGAACAAATTTATCATTTAATTCTAGATATATGTTTTGAAATCTTATTGATTTTCTTTATCTAAGCTTTTTTATCAATTATGGTTCTTTATTTATCAATTCTAGATATATGTATTTTTCATGTAATTATGTATTATATTATAAAATTGTGACTTAGCATTCCACATATACCATCATTAGATCCTATTCTTATTTTGTTAGTATATAATTTGTTGGTGTGGAGCAATGCTCCTTTTTCTAGATTGGCTAATAGATTTAT